TGTGCCTGTCTTCTTCAGAGAAGCTTCTATTCAGATCTCTTGCCCACAATGAGATGTGGCCACTTGTTCTTTTCTTGCTAATACATTTGAGTTCTCTGTGGATTCTGGTTATCAAACCTTTGTCAGTGATATAACCTTCAAATATCTTCTCCCATTCTGAGGGCTGTCTGCTTGCTTTCCTTACTGTGTTCTTGGCTGTGCAGAAATTTTTTAGTTTGATCGGATCCCAGTAATGTAGTTTTGGTGTTAGCTTCAATTGTCGGGGGGGTCCTCCTCATAAAGTATTCTCCCAGGCCAATCTTTTCAAGTGTTCCCTGTGCACTCTCTCCAAATATCTTTATAGTTTTATGTCTAAAGTTTCAATCTTTTATCCAGTGACAGTCAGTTTTCCTTAATGGTGAAAGGTGAGGGTCCAGTTTCAGTCTTGTACAAGTCACCAGCCAATCCACCCAGCACCATTTGTTAAACAGGGAATCTTTCCCCCACTGAATGTTTTTGATAGGCTTATCAAAGGTCAAATGACAATAAGTACCTGGGTTCATCTCTTGGTTCCCTATTCTGTTCCATACATCTACCACTCTGTTTTTGTGCCAGTACTATGCTTTTTTTGGTTCTAACAAGGATGAGTGAGCTCACGAGATGAGAGCATTGGTGAATTGGCAGTCTCTACACCTGTGGTATTGAGAAGAATGAGCTCAGCCTTATATTAGGCTGAAGGAGAAGGCAGTCAAGAGGTGTGCGTATTCTATCATGGATCCGCTTACTCTGACTCTGTCTCCTCTCCTGCCTGCAGAACGCCAGCATGGCGTCTCTGCTGAAGATTAACAAGCTCTGCTAAAGACTAAGATCTATCTGTTCTAAGAAGACCTTTACTCTCTCTAAGATACTCTGTCTCTCTCTCTCCAGCTAAAGTAGATAGCCCTCAAGTACCTACGAGAAACTGTTCCTGAGCAAGGTAGCTTAGTGGTCTGCGTCCAGAACCTACCTAAGCTGGGCCCGAGACCTGGCCAGTCCCGGGCCCTGACAAGTGGCGTCAGAAGCGGGATAGTGAACACCACTGACAAATGGTGCTTTGAGCAGGATTCAGTAAATGTGGACCGAGAGGGAAATAAGCTTTAGCAAAATAAGAAAAAAAGAGAAATAGAAATGCTTAGAGAGAAAGGAAATATCTAAGAAAGACAGCCAACAGCAGGCCTTTCTCATTCGGTTTTTCCTCTTCTTTCCTGCGTTTTCTCTTTCCAATTTCTAACTACTTCTGTGGGAAAAAAGCTGGTAAAATCCTTTAGCCTCTTCCGTGAAGTGGCTGGAGAAAAACAGAAAAAAGCCTCTAAACAAGAAGGAAAGAGAGAAAGGTAGACCTAGGAGATAAGAATCTTTAGCAAACAAGCCTTTAGCCTCAGGGGTGAGAAAAGCCTTCTGTAAAACAGCTAAGAGAAAAGGTTGGGAACAGGTTCCAAGAGTTTACTAAGTTAGGGAAGAGAACTTCTAACTGCCTTCCCATGTATCTTCGCCCAATGCCAGCAGGAAGCAGCTTTTGAGAGACCGACGCCCCGATTCTCTCTTTGGCAGTTAAGAGTTCTGTTTAAAAAGAAAAGAATTGAGGTAGATTGAGGCTGGTGAAGAAATAGTGGAAGTAAAGTTTTGTAAAACAAGACTCCAGAGTAAAAAGAAACAGCTAAAGAACTCCGGTCTCTTTAAGGCAGCCAAAGGTTCTAAGAATTGAAAGGGAAAGATTGTAAAAAGTAAAAGGCCAAAAGAAAAAATCCAGTAGAGAAAAATCATGGCAAATGAGATACAGCAGTTGAAATACAGTTGAGAGATCAGATGAATCTTATAGTAGAAGCAGGTAAATGCTATATTGACATCTCAAATTGGGCAGCTGGAAGATCAGAGGGTAAATCCCCCAGTTAACATCAAATGCCATAAATGTGGGAAGCTGGGCCGTAAGAGAGAAGTGTTTAAAAGGGAAAAGAACGTTGAATGCTAAAAAAAGGAACAAAGAGCATGTAAGCCTCCAGGTGTCTGTCCCAAGTATAAAAAGAGCTTTCACTGGGCAAACAAATGCCGTTATCAACTTGATAGAAGATGGAACACCTTTATTGTAGGGAAATTATCAGTTAGGCTAGAATCAGGACCCACTGGTAAATGAAAGAAAAAACAGTTTAATATTTTCATTTCAAACCATTCTCAGGAAAAACAGTATAATTCAATTATATGCCATGGGAGCACTCTGCCAGCCTGGTTAGACCTGTGGTGCCTTAGTGTAAAACGGGAAATTAATCCAGACCAATGGATGACAATGGAGAATAATTAGATTAAATGTTTGTGGAATATTAGGTTATCCTGAGTGGTGAAGGGGTAACCGACCTCTTATCAGTGTCTGTGCACTACAACCGGGTCCAGCTAAGGAGACTGGACCCGGCCCAAAGGGGAAGTGTCACTCGGAAGCAAGTGAAGACTTTGGAAGATTATGAGAGGTGAGAACAAAGGGAGGCAAGAGTAAAAGTTAAACCACCTCTGTGCTAGGAAGCTCCATTTGAAAAAGGAGTCTGGAATCAATTAGCAAAAGTTTTGCTGGAAAAGCAGCTTGAAAGCAGGAAAAACTCTGCTATCAAGGAATTGTGAAGGGTGGTACTTTTTGGACCATGAGTAACAGTTCCATGAAAGGAACTGCCAAGTGTGGAACCATTAATCCATGAGTAACAGTCTTTTGCGATCTGTGAAGGGTGGATTTCAGTACCTCGAGTAGCAAAATCTTTGGAATAGCGAGAGAAAAATCCTTGCTTGCAAAGATTGCAAGGAAAGTGTTATTTTTTGTTCAATTGTTAAGTAAATATCAAAGGAAAGTTCCTACAGTTAAAGAAATGATTAAATTCTATCAAGAAAGATTTCAGTTTTCTCCCTTTAAAAAGACCTTTAAGAGAATTAACATCACAGTCATTTTCCTCTGGCAGTGGCTAATAGTTTACATCTGTATTGGGCTTCCTCACTTAAAGAGCCCATACCTGGAATTCTGAACTCTGATAATTACCATCTTTTGCCTAGAAAGAAAAGGGCTAGATAACAGGAAGAACTGCCCTTACCACATTAAAAATTTTGTTTGTATATAAAAAAGGGGGGAAATGTAGCAGCCCGTATAGCCTATGGCTAGGAGGAGTGAGAGTTTATAAGATACCTGTAAGGGAACACCTTGGTGAAAAGGGCATGGAGAGAGATTTGGGTCTAACAAGCATGAGTGAGCTCATGAGATGAGAGCATTGGTGAATTGGCAGTCTCTACACCTGTGGTGGTGAGAGGCACGAGCTCAGCCTTATATTAGGCTGAAGGAGAAGGCAGTCAAGAGGCATAGCGCATTCTCTCATGGATCCACTTACTCTGACTCTGTCTCCTCTCCTGCCTGCAGAACGCCAGCACGGCGTCTCTGCTGAAGATTACCAAGCTCTGCTAAAGACTAAGAGCTATCTGTTCTAAGAAGACCTTTACTCTCTCTAAGATACTCTGTCTCTCTCTCTCTCTCTCCAGCTAAAGTAGATAGCCCTCAAGCACCTACGAGAAACTGTTCCTGAGCAAGGTAGCTTAGTGGTCCACGTCCTACCTAAGCTGGGCCCGAGACCT